CTGATGACCGATGAACGCCTCGACAAAATTCCTCCAGCCGGAGTTTGGCACCTGGAGTGATGGAATCAAGCGCGCCTCGTTGGATGCCATAGCCCCCCTTCCAATTGACCCCTTCAAAGAAATGACGCTGGACGAATGCCGTATCTGCCTTTCCCGGCTGGAGAATGTGTTCCGACTGCTAAATATCAAGATCAGAGAAGCGGAAGACGACGAAGTCTACACGTGGTATTTGGAATCATACTTGGTGGTCGCTGGCTCTCGAGAATACCTGGCACTCAACCAAAAACTCGTCAAGATGATTATCTGCTGCACTACGTAGTCTAGTACAGCCAAACCTGCTTCCGTGAGTCGCGGCGACAAGAGGCGGCTTTGTGGATTCATGAAAACACCGACCCGTCCGCGCCGCCCCTCGAAGTGCGAAGTATGTCCTCCCACTCCCACCGAGTCGACGCAACTCTGCCCAAGCCTCCATTGGTACGAGAAACACCATGCAAAGTGCGGACCCGATGCTACTACAGACCACAGTTGGCATCGTGACCTCAATGTTGGAGCAGAAATTGGACCAGAAATATGGAGGGCATTCGGGCCAAGTTGGAAGCGTTGATGGCAAGGCTTCCAACAACTACATTACCTCGTCCTTCACCAAGCCAGTCGAAGCACCGATCAAGAGTCTCTGGCAACCCGAGGTCCCCTGGTAACCCTGGGGATCCTGGACACGCGGAGGACGCCGGCGACGTAGATCCGAACCTGACTGTCGGAAACCTCGACGGATCAAGAGTTTCCAACATTTCCAATTCCAACTTCGCCAACTTATCGACACCATCGAACGTCAAGACGTATACGTTGGAAGAGCTACGTGACATCTTCAACCAATTCGGATTGTCTGCAGGCCAACAACACCTCCCTCAAAGGCTCCCCCATGGATTACAGCAAAACCACAATCAAACCATAACCATGGATCGACCTACAAGCGCTGGAAGCTTGCAAAGTGGTCCCCAGCGAGGTGCACGAATGCAGCCAACCAGAGGAGGACGAGGTATCACATTTCAAGATGGAACAGACTACGAACTCTCCAACAACTTCTCTGGTGACCCAGATCCCCCGGGGAACCCAAGGAACCCCGGGAGACCTGGGGAAGGTGACAACCCTGGGTACGGCGGGGACGATGAAGACCTCTGGGATAACTTGCCGTCTATGGGACACCAAGGAGCTATGCACGTGCTATCCATGGACTCTATGCCCGTCTTCTCCGGCAGCGAATACAACCGCGAGACGTCGTATCAATGGATGAGACGCTACGAACAACTGTCACGGCTATCAGGGTGGACGGCACAAGAAAAGATCGCTTGGTTCCCTTCGTACCTGAGCAAGACTGTACGAGCCTGGTTCAACCAACTGCAGCCCCATTACAAGCAGTCGTGGAAGGATATCAAGAGAAAGTTTGCAAAGGAATGGATCACCAACCCGCTGCCAAAAGCTGACAAGTACTACCACATGACACAAGAGCCGAAGGAGCCATTGAAGACGTTCTTCTACCGATTCAACAGTGCAGCCCAAAGCGCGAGGGTGGAATACTGGAAGTCAGCCATCATATTGGAAGACCACATCGGGCGTTTATGCATGGCCAAGCGTTGGGAGACCGCCTACAGTATCTCAAATGATGTTCTCGTCCATTGACGACCTTGACCGACACTTGGACTCACAGCGGAAAAACCAAATCTTGCGCCAGTTCAAGAACCGTCAGGTTGATACGTCCAGCGCCGGAATCCGTCGCCGTGAAATGACTCGGGACAAGCGCCCATCAATGGAACGTCAAATCCTCCTGGCCAGAGAAGACTCCGACTACGACAGCCCAGCAGTGACCAACACACCCAAAGAACAACTACATCACGAGATTTATGCGCTGGGCGGCAAGAAGGAGTGGTGTTCCAGCTGTAGCAAGGAGCACTGGCGAGTGAACGGAGAGTGCTGGATGGAACAGTTTTGCAGCCTGTGCAAAAGAAATGGCCATCCCACCGACAAATGTATCAAGGCCTGCCAATTCTGCAAGCCGACCCACAACAAGTACGAACGATGCGAAACGCGGGAGCAGATCATCTCGGTCCGAACATATCTCGAAGCACTGGCCAAATCGGGAAAGCTGGACGATCTGCCCAACATGGATCGTTTAAACTTGTAAGTCCGAGAGTGGTGCCCCACTCTAGTTGCGCGGGACTCAAGCAGGCAAACACGCAAGATGGCGGTGATAGACGAACGCAAGATAGCGGTGAAGAACGAACGCAAGGCGGCGGTGAAGAAAACAATGAAAACCCAAGAAACAGAAAGCACAAAACACAAAACGACAAAAATAACGCATCAAGCGGAAGCCTAGCTGAACAAGCTCCTGCATCTGCATCACGACACCAAACAGTCTCGAATTCCCAAGCATCCCAGGCTACCCAAGCATCTCGGGTGACCCAAGTAGCCCGGAGTTCCCGAGAAACCCTGGGCGACTTGGCCCCCACGGCCCTCACGCCTCTCAAGAAACAGAAAGCACAAAACACAAAACGACAAAAATAACGCATCAAGCGGAAGCCTAGCTGAACAAGCTCCTGCATCTGCATCACGACACCAAACAGTCTCGAATTCCCAAGCATCCCAGGCTACCCAAGCATCTCGGGTGACCCAAGTAGCCCGGAGTTCCCGAGAAACCCTGGGCGACTTGGCCCCCACGGCCCTCACGCCTCTCAAGAAGAAGGACATGCCCTTGGACCCTATGGCCCTGGAAGCTCAAGAGTTCCTAGCGACTGTAGCTGCATGGAAAACACAACAAGAAAAATGAGGGCGCAGGCGAGATCTTCTAACTTGCAATACATCTTACGATCCCCCACCTCTTGTCCCGCGAGTGTGTTTCACCAATTCCACGAAGTCCCACCTGAAGAGTTCTACTTTTTGGAAGGAGAACAACTTGGATTCTGGAGAAAGTCGGATCTCAGCGATCGAGCCCGAAGTGACCAAGCTTTCCTCGATGCCGCAATCATGAACGTACCTGCCCGCATACTGGCCGACACTAGCGCCAACCTCAGTGGTATCCATAGACGAATGGCAGAACGTTTGAACTTGAAGGTGGACACATTCAAACGAATCGGTATCAATGGTCTCGGTCCGAATAGTGTCAGCACCTTTGGTATGGTGACAATCAAGCTTACCATCGCGCGCGGCATTGTATTCATCTTCAGCTTGGCACTGTGTGATATCGGGCCGGTGGAGTTTGAAATGATACTCGGGATGAATTTCATGTCCAAGACTGGCTTCGTCATCGATACCGGCAATCAAGAAATTCAGCTTCCTGATGGAGAGCACGTCCCTCTACTCACAGAAGGTATCAAGTACGAAACCTATTTACATGAATCTGCACGACACGTGTCAAGCTGCAAGAAGAATCAACGCTATTGGATAATATACGTACATTTTCTTTGTGACAACATGCTTGCGAACCCACGCCAAGAGTCTACCCTAAGCGACATCCGTGTCCAAGTCCACCAAGGCCAACTATAAGAGTGGCTTAAACCAAATCAAGAAGTGGATTGCAAGCTACGGCAGCCCCACCATGCTGAAGGCAGATGACACCATCGAGTTGGCAGTGTTTAAGTACAATGACTTCCTTGCATTCATCGAATGGGCATACCAAAACACCTCCAACAAACCATGAACCCTTGCAGGATATCGTTCAGCCATCAAGGACCAATTTAAACGTGAGGGTCTCGACGCCCCCCCTAGTACGAAACAGATATGACGGATGTCTTTCAACGTATAACAAGTTGAAATAACCACACTAATAGAATTTAGGAATGCGACGACTACACGCTGAACAAAGTCAGTCTGGGGGCATCAAAGAGTCTGGGAAACGCCCAATGGGATACTCGATGTACGAAACATTGTGTTTGGAGTCTCTCAAGTCAGTCGACGGTGTGTTCACGCATCTGTTCCTGACGCTGTCGTGGAATTTAATGTACCGTTCAATGTCCACCCTGACCATTCAGCTGGCACACCTCTCGTTTGAGGGAGACGCGATTGGGGTTGTGTTTTGCAAGAGCAAAACTGACCAAGCTGGCGAGAAACATCGAGCTCCACGGCACATCTTTGCAAATCCATCGAAGCCGGACACGTGTGTGTTTTTGGCGTTGGGTGTGTATTTGGCCAGTCATCCTCAACTTACTGGTGGCCAACTATTCCCCTGTGGAAGTCAGCGTGATCGGTTTGGAAAGGGGCTTGCTCGTCTTGTGGTGTCGTCGTTCATCTCCGAGGCGGGCAACATTGGGACGCACTCCAACCGTAAAGGAGTTGCTAACTTTCTTTGCTTGGGAGTACAAGAGGCCCATCCATGGCTAGTGTGCGTTTGCGGTGTGGTTGGACGTTGGGTGATGTGCTTGAGCGCTGCATTCATTACGAACGAGCCGGCGACCAATACCCCGGTCGCATTGTGGTTGGGTTATCCAATCACAAACCTGAGTTTGCCTCATTCTCCAACTACCGCCGACGATGAAATTGGACACGCCATTGGAATAGTATTTCAAATTGTGGCTCACGAAGCTCAAATATCAAATGTCCTGTCGTTAGCTTTGGTATCACTTGTGTATCATTCCGATTGGCTCATTGAAATCCTACCCTCCCACCATGCACTACTGGCGTCGCCACTATGTACCAACCCTGCCATTCTTACTGCACTGAAAACCCATGTTACGATTAAGTCTGGCCGATTTGTTCCAACTGACATACCACCGCATGTGGAGTTGTTTCAAAGCATCGAACGAAACCATGCCGCAATCATCAATTTACCCGAGGTTGTGTCTGGACGCCTGGAGGGCATCATTCATGATCATGACCTTCCTAGTGGGACCAATACACGACAAGTGTTGGAATCTACGCTGTCGGGCTTCATGTCGCGGCTCGAAAGCCGCCCATCATAACCAGCTGTGAGCCCACTGTCGACACGAAATGGGGGGTTGTATACCTGGGGAGGTCGGCTGTCAAAGCTTCCCATCGAGTGTGATTCCCTGCCGTCGATGCAGGGTCTGCTTGGAGGCTATGGTGGCTATGGTGGCTAGGAATTGTGAGATGTGCGCTTCCTCCGTATCGGTACATCGTACCTATAGATTTATGTACGCCAAAACAGCGGAAAGTCCTTTCAGACTGGTAGTACGTCATGGGCCAGTTTAGCCGCGTGTGCACTGACTCGGGTCTATCTATGCCCGCCCATCCTACTGAAGAGAACGTGTCAAAGTTGTTCGAGCTATTTCGAAATGTCCAAATAGTTTTGGTCAATTCAATTCCTATCCTAGAACTGACCCTACCGACCCTATTTCAGCCTCGATGTTTCCGTACAAGCATAGAATTGTTCAATTCACAGTACGAAATCCGTGATTTCATACGATAAACAAAGTGATTTTTGCATTATTCGTAGACGTTAAACAACGGGGGTTTCGTGCTGACGAGGTGCTCCCGTCTACGTTTTCTAGCCAGGCGTATAAATGTGACCATCTTCATTTGGGGCATACGAAGCTGACGTCCAATTTCAGTGAAACCCTGGATGATGGCATATTGGCCATTATAGGGCCAAATGCAATGCATCTATAGCCGTGACCGAGGTGTAGGGACGACCCAAACCAGTGCCAATCGTGCTGCATGCAAATTTACATATAATTATTTTGTTCAAACTAATGTCAACAGTATTTGCGAACAGAGGAAGTATTGTGCATTTCATGTAATTTGCCCGTTGTTTAACTGCGTTAAACAACCAGACGTTTAAAATAATATAAGCCCGATTGAAGATAAAGCAACGCTAAACACAAGTTCTGCATTTCAGCAGAATAAAACAACCCTTACTTTATTTCAGTTGCTAACTAATCGAGTTGCAGCACCAAACCAACTTACGCCGTGCCGTATTAGGCTGTTAAATGGGAGTACTATATATCGTGTAGTCGTACAGTAGTGCGCCCTTGCCTTCCACGTACAGTGCTAAGGTTAGAACAGATCAAGAATTGTAGGTATGGCATAGCTTTGAATCATTGGACAGAGCGACGACTACATGTACTGTAGCCTAACTATATCCCAAACGTTGTATACATTACTCAGAGTAGATAATGTTAGTACTGTAGTGATCACGGATGGGAAAGGAAGGTCATGTATGTGGCCATAGCTCCTTCAGTTTCATTGCGTCAAGCACCCTGACATGTTGACGTAAAGCAAGTTGTTTGCTAGAACGTAAAGCAAGTTGTTTGCCAGAATGAAAGCGGCAAACAACTGGATTACCCGGAGATAGGGAGGAAGCCATGGCAAAGCACCTTGATTTTTAGGGTGTCCTGCGCGCTCACGACGGCCCTTGAAAATTCTGGCGAGAGATTTATTCGCACCCTCGTTCGTACTCATAACCGCATCAGGTCTCCAAGGTTAGCAGCCTCTAGTTGATAGAAGAATGTAGATAAGGGAAGTCGGCAAAATAGATCCGTAACTTGTTTTACGAAAGTGCCAGTAAAACCACCTTCAACCAACCAATCATCGCAATAGATGAAGTAACTTTAAACGACGCACCCAACCGTTATTCAAGTTACTTTAGACATTATTTAAGCCTGAGAAATTTTTAAACAATGAATTTAACCCTGGAATTGCCAAAAAAGGTGCAAATTAACGTTAACACCTTCAAAAATGAAATGTGTACGAGTACTTACTTGTATAGCCGTAAAAATTATATTTTTCACGTAATTTACTGTTATTTATAATACTTCATAGTACTATTAATACTGTCGTAACGTTATCATCAAATGTATAATAACGTTACAAACATTGGAAATATACAACTTCAACTGGGCCAAATACTTGGGTCAAACATTACTAAGTGTTGATTGGTTGATATTCAGATATGAATCAATCTGATTGGATAGTCGATTGCCTGCTTCGAATCGAATGCCCTATTAATAAGTAGCACCAATTTAACTTGATGTTTGTATGCACATGGATGCGCTCTTTTTTCCACACACATTCCATCCTGATTGCAACTTTGAAATCATCGTCAATGTCGCGGGTGTCCCAACCTCCGTACATGCTGGGCGAGAGGGCTCCTCCGTCCCACGGGGGTGATGGCAACATGAGTTTCCGCCAGGTTCCGTACGTGAGTGTGCATGCGCGTGTGGAAAAGGGCGTGGCCGTCCGGAAACATCTGCGCAAGTACTTGGAATCGAGTGCCGCTTCGCACACGGCCATGTCCCACCACTTGCTCAACGACGCGCACATAGTATCGATGCAACCGGACGAGATCTCCAAGACGTGCATGGACGAAGTGTTCCGCATGTTGCACAAGTATAACCATACCGTGGGCACCAAGAGCGTCGAGGTCAGCCGGTCCCTGTCGGAGCTCGCGGCGCCGCTCGACAACTCGGGAAAACTGAAGAAGTGGAACAAAGACACGTACAACCTTGTACACACACCCGATCCTATCCAACTCTCCCCCTCTTGTACGACTCACGAGCATCGTTAGATTCAAAAATGCGTCCAAGACGTCGCCGCCGCAGACAAAAAGATGGTACCCGTCCTTTCTCCATCATTGTCATTATCGTCATCACATTCTTGATGGTTCTGGGATACAGGAGCGAGCGATCGCGCGGCGGAACAAAGCCATGGAGGACCACGCGCAGTGGAGGCGCGTCGTGGAGGCCAACAAAGCGACGTTGGCGACACAGCCGACCAACCAAGAGTGCATGCGCGCCGTCAACACGTCTCAAAGTACGCCCCTTCGTCGATGGATGTGCATATTCGTACACATCGACCTACCTACGAACACATGAGGCATCCGTGGGATAGCCGACGTCATCTTCCTCATGTATGTATGCTCGTAGCAAGGGCCATCGCCGCGGCCGAAGACGAGCGCGCGGCAGGCCAAGAGTACGAAGATGCCAAGTCGGCGCTGCACAGCGCGATTGAACATCGTGATGACATGGTGGAAGGCGCGACGGAAGCCAGTCAGATGGCCGAGGACGACCGCCTCGAAACCATGACGTTGATCTTGCACCAGTTTGTGCAGGTATGTGTTTGTATGCAGTAGTAGTACTCAATCCCTACGACTACTACTAGTAGTACTAGATCCCTACGTCCACTCCTTAACTGTTACGATTGGGTTTCACGGACGTGGTGACTTGTGGTAGACGAAACAAGCCGCACTTGTAGCTGAAATGGAAGCGCTCAAGGAACTGGCCAAGGTCGTGGGGTCGTTGGATCGCAATGCGGCGCTGCAGCAGTACATTGTGGACCACATGCAGCCAGACATCACGCACCGCCACTCGAAGGCCATGTTCCTCGTGGAATGGCACTGGAAGTGGCACCTCGAGCGCGTCGAACTCGCCAAATCCGAGCCTGAAGACTACTTGAACCTCACGTCCGACTCGATGTACGAAGTATACTTTGATGGAATGTATGACGTGGCAAAATTGTTGGGGGAGTGGTTCATGTGAGTACTAGTAGTAGTCCCATCGGAGTAATGCATGTGTATGTGTGCCTCGTTGTCACCGATGAGTCTATGACGCATATATATATATATATACGGCGATGGTATAGCTTTTTTTAGTAGAATAAATATATATATACATGTATATATGATTATCCTACACGGGGATGCCAATCGACGACATATACAATATATAGAATATATACATATATATTGATATCGTGATGATTCACTACTCTCAATTGAACAAATCTATATATTGTGCTTTCAGCCAAAACTTGGGTTTTTGTGCTGGTGTACCAAATCCATCGATCGATAGCTTTTTGCACTAAATTTCGTGTGTAAAACATGTCCCCCTGTACACTAATAATATCAGTCATTCACGAATTCGATGTGGAATGGTTGAAGCGAGGATTTGATTGGCCACTTGATTCTTGTTCTGGTTTTTGATTGGTCGATCGATTGTCTGCCGATTTGGTGCTGCTCATTCGATTCAGCACCTCACTCCAATTTCGAATCGACTTCACAATATATATATATATATATATATATGGAGATGCTTTTATTGAACAACTGTATATATATGTCTTAATCTCGGTCGTTATTGAGGAGGATGATAATCGTAGCCGGTGCCTGCAAGAGCACAACATCACTGTATTTGACGTGGAAGTGATGAAAGAGTTTGTCGCGTCCTGCTTTGTGACCCCCGACCTCTCGCGCATGATCGGCAGCGAACGGAAGGTCCCCACGAAGCACCGCCATCGGTTCGTGGACCCGACGGCCGGCCGCGCCTTGTACCGTCTGGACGTCGTCCGCCAAGTGATTCTAGCGGCGCTCAACCACCAACGCGCGTTTGGGGTCGAGTTGACGGTAGCTACCTGTATATATATATATATCAAATATATGTATAATATATATATATATATATATGATTGTCCTTTTGAGCCATGATTTGGAGTTTTGGGTTGATCCGTTGAATCAATCCATCGAACGAGTTTTTGTACTGAATTTCGTATTTGAAGAGGGTCGCCCGTCACACACTAATTTTACGCTAATATTGTTGATGCGAGAGCGTTTGATTGGCTACTTAATTCCTGTTGTGGGTTTTGATTGGTCGATCGATTGTATGCCGATTTGGTTATTCTGCTCTACAGAGAGCGACGGAATTTAAGAAGCATCGAAGTTTCAATCATATGGAAGCGGCCTTTGACCAATCAAAAACAGATATTCGATATAAGGACATTATAAGCAGTTCTAATTGGCCATAACACTAATTCTCGTCAACATTGAACCGAATTTCGAAGCATCTTGTCCAATCATATATCAATTTCGTAAATAATTCGAAGTCTTAACATTCCGTCGTCGTCTGAATATCGATTGTTTCAACTCGAATTGTTCGAATCGACTTGACAATATATCAATGACGTTCAAATACTTGATAGCCACGATCTCATGGGTTGGATATATATATATATATATATATATATATATTGTGTGCATTCAGCCGTCTTGAGTTGTGATTGCTGACGACTATGAGACGATGTATTTCTTGAGCTTTGTATCGTCGATTACAAGTTGGCAAAGTTGAGCCAAAACAAAGAGAATCCGTAGAGTCATCATGTACTATGTGTGTATATATATGAATGATCATCATCGCATGCTAGGTGGTGGGGTATGAGATGCTCGTGGCGGCGCTGACGCTTCTCTTGCACGGATGTTTGGAGAGCGGCGACACGAGATGCGCCAAGTCCGTCATGAACATGGCGCAGACGTTCTACTGCACACACAAGCACAAGCAGCACTACCTCCTCCCCAACCTCGTCCTGCATCCGCTGTGGCAGACTGCGCACTTTTGGGGCGACGCTGTACATATTATGACGTGGCTACCCAATCGAGTAGTACTTACATATGTATTATGTAGGTGCTGCTCGGCATTGGCGAGGAGCTAAGCCGGCATTCATTCGACACGCCATGGCAGTGTCTGTCGGCGTCGGCGCGAGCGGCGTTGGTTGTGACGGTGCACAACGTCGTGTTTGGCCAGCTCTCGACGTTCGTGTACAACATGGCGTCGTTTCGGCTATCGCGGCACCAGATCCGCCAGTTTGTGCAAACGGTGGCCTTGTCGTTCGAGTTGAGCGAAGACCAGCGCATGGCGCTGCTGGCGGCGGTGGCGGCGCTGTCGATTGAGAACGAAGAGGACGGGCGCGCCATCTTGGGAGGAGACGCGGCGCTGTTTACGACCGCCATCTTCCCCGAATGGCGCAAGACGGCGCCGCCAAAAGACACGGCCATGCAAGCGCTCGTGGGGCACGGACTGTCGCGCATCAAGGGCATCTTTGACCGAGACATGGACAAAGCGTCGTCGCAAGTGCTACTGGCGAATGCCCAGGTACGTTCACAAAACGTGACCAACAACTGGTCACCATAATCGTTCGGCAGTAATATTTGGAGGTGTAATTTAGACCATCTTGTGGGGAACAAGATGGTCCAAATTACACCTCTAAATGTTACTGTCGATGATTGCCCAACGATGGAATGATTTTCGAGAGCAACGATGGATTGATTTTCGAGTGTAGAAAGCCAAGAATGATGATCAGTGGGCCGACTTGTTTGGCGATGTCGCACCACCGACTCGTTTGCATGGAGATGCTGCGATGATGCCGCCGCCACCTCTGGTCGAGCCGCCTGAGATGATGGAATCGACAGGACGAAGAGGGGACGAAGGCACAAAGTCCCTCCGACGGCGACCCAAGAGCAACAATGCCATCAGTGACTTCATCCCGCCGATGCCGATGGGTCCTCCGCCGCCTGCGCTAATGTCGCCGAACGAAGCATCAACCAAGAAGCAGAGGCCGCGAAGCAGCAACAGCGTCATCTTGGCCGAAGCTGCGTTCGAAATGAAACCGTCTAGTAGTACTAGTAGTAGTAGGACTGGCCAGCCTAGTACTAGTACTAGCAGGAACCGGACCAGTGCCGACAGCTCGGATGACGACGTGTCTACACCTGCACGGCAACGACGACCTCGAGCGAGATATGGCGATGCCACGGGCGTGGCGGCCTTGCGCTCGCGATTTGAGCGCATGCAAACCATGTGATAAGACAACATGCCGCGATATAGAGATGGTGCTTTTGGTTTACATGGTGGATCGTATGGGAAACTTAATTCTTGGGCTTGGTGGCGGACGATCCAAAGTATGCCGACGGCATCCGGAACTTCGCCTCACCCGCGCCATACTGAAACAACTGACCGCACACGGGCATGACGTCCCACTGCAGCTTGAGCGTGACGTCGGCATCGCGGAGTTGGTTGGTCTCGTCGGCCAAGAAGTACTTGACGTTTTCGTCGGCGAACTGCAGGCGGGCATCGGCGCGCGTGGGGACAATGGCGTCCCAGACGACCACCTGGTTCACCACGTTCGATGCGCTCGTGTACTCAGCGACGACGTACACAAACAACTGCTTCGTGTTCCAGTTGAACACGGACGACAGGTCCGCGTCCAGGTCAAACGTCAGCACGGCGCGATCGGTCTTGTCGCGGTAGTTCCGCAAGGATTGCACCTGGTTGAGCGCGAGGGTGTGCACCAAGGGAGAAGGTGTGTGCAGGAACGTCGTAAGTGTCGTCAACGCGCACATGGTGTACATCGCCGTGAAGGCCGCCATGAACACGGCATTGGCCCGCGTCCAGAACGTGTGCATGTATGGTGGTGGAATTCAGAAATGCCAAGCTACGTGGCGTGAAACATCCGGATAACACCGGATAAGAAGGTAAAAGTAAAAAAGGGGCATTTGACATTTGTGAGCTCAATCCTTACATATTCCTATTTATAGCTAACTCAGCAATGGCATGACCATTATGGGAGTCGTGTAAGGAACAGCCTGCAACAAATGTACATACCGACGTGATGATTCTCGTTATGATGATGTTGTCCATGAGAGTGTAGGCAATGGACGAACGTTGTCCAGGTTTGCCAAAAGCTGCGGCTGCTCGTGTCATCCACCAATTGCCGCCATGGTTGGCTCACGACATGCCACGTGTCTGGAAGGACTTTGTACGACCGAACGCTTGATCTTGTTTCTCTTGACAGTGATGTTGCATAGATCCAATGTATGGCACCCATGGTCTTCGATTACGCCGGCACGTCCCACGACGACGACGCCGCCTCTGGCATCCTCATCCAAATCCTCGAGGTTCAGTGTATCCGTTTCCTTTTTCAATGAACAATGTCACAATATCGTATTCTATTAGGCCGAACGCTCCATTGCAAACTCGGCGCCATGTTTTCCACAAGACGACGACATGACTGTTGTAATCACTTTGTTGGACACGTTCTTCAGTCGGGAGGTGTGTGTGCCCAGCGTGAAACGTTTGCGTGGCTGCCTTTTCATCAAAGATCTTGGAATGGTAGCACCCACAGCTCTTTCATCGCCACAACTCGACCCTTGGCCACTCGAAAAAGGAGTTGTCCAGACCCAATATATCGACGCTCCTCTTGTTGCCTCTCACGGTTGGGACCTCCTTTGGCCCCCGCATCGTGCCCGCCATCCTCCAGCACGGCGTATTTGCCGTCGTAGCGATGCTTGACGTACGCCTTCCTCCTTCTTTTCTGGACGGACACCGGTCCTCCTAATATGTTGGGGCGTTGTTTTCATCATCTCAATATAACGCCCGAGTTGCGCATTCTACCTCTACCATGACCTTTTCTTTTCATGACGTTATCGTCAACCCACGACGAACGTCACCACGCATACGCATGATTGTAGGTGTACTTTTGTATCTATCGCAAGTCGCTGCTTCAAGAAGCCAAGAAGACAAACCTGGCGATGTGGCACCACGCCTTAAAGTCTACTGAATCATGGCTCGATACCATCGAGCAGGTAGGTTCATACCTTGCATTATTATGGTCACGGTCATTTTACAGTGTCTCATGGGTTGGTCGCTTAGGAATCGTTTTGGCGGCAATGCAACAAGCGATGGGCCCCAACTTCATCCTTTCGCCGCCGTTACATGTCGTTGTATGCATCGTGTCGCCTCCAAGCCGCGATGCGACGACAGTGTCATACATTGAACGAGGTCGACTGGCTCGGTTTTGATGTGGACGGCACCCTCGTCGAGTACAACCACTCATGTCTAGCCCAGCTATCGTTTGACAAAGCAGTGGACGTCCTCATATCGGTATGTCGATCTCGGTGTCGTCGTGACGATCACAATGTGTTGTGGTGATGTAGATGTTTCCGACTCTAAACACAACCCCACGACCAACGTACCTTTACAGCACGCACATCACCCAGCGCTGTGTCACAGTCGACACCTTCCGTGGCAATTTTTTGTATGTGACGGCGTCTGGAGTGATCCATCATGCCGTCCACGGCCATGCCCGCGCCGTGGACATTGCGTCGACGTATCCATCCTGTCGGTGGGTCCACCGCGAGCCACCAGCAACGGAAACCCATCGCCAGAACATTCCGCCTTCTCCTGAGCACGCCACGTCATGTGTGGACATGTGGACGTTGGGGGACACGGTGTTTGCCCCGCTGTATGCTTGGCTCATCGACATGCATGACGCCAACAAGGTCATCGTCCCACGATTCTATATATATATATATATCATGAGGAATTTATATTATTTACTGAATGACGATACCACGTTATCTATCTCGTTCACTTCACAATTCAGTGATCGAGTGAGTGTATATATAATTAAATCCACGACTTCTCTCCACCATTCGTTTCGTCAATGGCATGTGATGTAGATTGCACTTGTGACCAATATCGACAAGACCCAAACCACGTACGAGCACTTGGCCCAACTCGCAAAGCAAGCGATTGGCACGTTCTATCGCACGCAGTTCGATGTGCGCTGTGACGTTGCCACGTCACGATATTCGTATCTTCAACGTCGCATCGTTATTTAGGACATTTTGGCGACGTCACCACAAGCATTGATTACGTACAACCGGCGCACCATACAAACATTACAACGCCTGAGACGGCGCCATATTCGACTGTTTGTACTCACAAACGGCACTTTCGAGCACTGCGATAACGTCATGCGGTATGCAGTGGGCGTGTCGTGGCAACGTCACTTTGACATCATCATTACCTCCGCAACCAAAGCCACGTTCTTTCACAACCACACACGACCGTTTCTCACGGTACGAAATGATGATTTTACAAGGCTGGACGGCGTAGTCCTATCATTTTCTATCGTTTCCAGCAACTTTTTACGAAACTCTCTCTGCAAACTACCTCGATACTGACCCGAATGACATATATTACTACTTGTGTAGTGTCCAGGAAGAAAAGGGGGCCAAGCGGTTGTTGCCACACAACTCGTACCTGGACAAGTGTATTCGCGAGGCAACGCAAACGCACTGCACGCGTTCTTTACCACCACACATCCAAATGTCCGCGTAAGGCATAACATATCGAATATTTATAGAATTGTAGGCAATATATATATATATATATATATATATATTAGTCAATTAGCTCACGGTTGGATCTATGTAGGTTTGCTTTGTCGGAGACCACTCGATGGAAGACATGGCACTGCCATACACGACGATGCACTGGGATACCATTGGCATCGTTCCAGAACTACAACATGACATTCTCAAGCGTCCATCGCTTTTCCAGGTACACCAGTGCTGTAAATAAACAATTAAATATATATATATATTCAACTGTTCATCACTATTCCATATACAGTACACGTACAGTATTCGTAAATATATATAGCGTTATACTGTACTAGTATATATGTACTGAGGTACTGTAGGTATACGCTAAGTATTTATATATGTAGTATTGTCCACGACATTTGTGGTTTAGTATGTATCGCGTGTGTAGACGTGTTGCCGACACCTGGGGCAATGTGGAACGAAGTCGAGGCAAGTTGCGGTCTCCCCCCTCAACGAAACCACACAAGACGATGCAGCAAGGACCACGATGGATAGATCGTGTCGACATGTGTTCTACTTTGGCGTTGGCGGGCCCATGAGTTCTATGGGGAAGCGCATCGTCCAGTCCACCGTGATGTGTGTACCAAGTGTCGGGGACCTCAACATGGGACGACAAGAATGGATAGAGTGGTTAAGAAGGCATAGGTAGCAGTGGCGGCCACAGAGTAAATTCGTGCGCTACTTGAGCATTTCCTTGTTCATAAACTTCCGCTTGGCAAAGAACATCCACCACTTGCTCTTGGTGGTACCGTCGGCAAACACTTGGTCGATCAGCCGAGTCGAAATGGCTTCGCGCAGTTGCTTGAGGTATCCGCGGGCGGTTTCTGTCTCTGACGCGTTTGCCGCTGCCTTGACGAGTCCCCCAAGTGGAAAGCTCGGTTCCCCAGGCACGGCGAAGCTGTCGGAGGCGACCTGGGCCAATGCGCGCTGGGCATCTGCCTTGGTCGCACATTTCTCCAAGCGCTTCAAGCACATGTGCGTGAACAATGTGCCGTACACCAACACGCGGTCGGCGTTGCCCTTGATCTCGTAGTTCGTGAACAGCACGTTGGCTCGGAACAGCGTCAAGATCTCATCGGCAACGTCCTCCTGGTCATCTGGGCATGGAGGGGCGGGACCTCGGGAGCGACTCTTCAACGGGAGAAGCGAAAACCCGCATGCATCGGCACAGGTCACCTCGTTGAACGCAGAATGATATGCTGGCATCCTTCGTCACGGATGTGCGCTGGACAAGAAAGCAATTTTTACGGATTGGAATGTTGGACACTTCATTATCCGGAGGGCACGGTATCCGGCTCAGGGGGTGGTACACTAATTATAATCGTTGCTTTTGTAACAGTATTTACGGGATGGACCCACAATTTTGCCTTTTCCATTTCTGTAGTCAATATAGAAAGATTTGGTGGTCCTGGTACCTTCCTGTTATTAATACTAGTACTGCATACTGGTAGTACTAGTAGAAGACTACCGGGACAGTAGTATTGAAGACCATCAAAAATGGTATAATAATCCTTGTATTTCGAAGTATTATTGTGAATTCGCTATAAACTTCCAAAACTCGCCTGGTTTGCCAACATTGAATCACACCAGAGATCTGATTGGTTGAATATACTTGTCCTTTCTGCAAGAGCCAATCAAATCCACTGAAAATTGGTTAGCCAATAGCGTCGATTCGTGATTCGATTCGGCGGCGAGATTCGATTCGACGGGGTCTGGAAATTCGTATCAAATCATCCACAATAATACCATGCTTCTTGATTTACGGGGGTCAGACAATCGCTCGACCAATCGAAGCCCAATCCAGTGGCCAATCAATTTCTCACTTCAACCACACCACATACTGTATCGAACTACCGGTAGTGTATGACTGCTGATATTACTATACTGTACGTTTTCCGTACAAAAAATCGATGGATGGATTGGGTGAGTCAGCACAAAATCCAACTTTTGGCTGAAAGCACAATAGCAATAGCTCACGTAAGCTTCGACCAAGCTGTCAAAAGCACAAGTTCAAAACTGATGTACGTAGAATGTCCAGCGCCCCCATGGGGCCATATGGGTCAAGGTAGTAACTTGTTGGGACTCGATACAACTTGGGCACGTGACGAGGCCAAATTAGTCGAACGATAAGCACCAGACGAGGGTTATATAGTTACACACAAACACTTTAGAGGTTAGACCCGCTTTCAACGTCGAGCTTTTGACGAACACTACAAAGTAGCTCATTCCGCTGTACGTGTGTTACAGCTACTACGTACTAAAGTAGCCCAGACCCCTTCCAAGGGCCCCTTCCCCACAACTCCCCCCACATCCGCGAATGCTTTTCATCCAACTCTTCGTGGCCTTGTTGTGCTATCGTTATCATATCAATCGAACGTATGCCCGTTACTACATAGTATTACCGACTGATAGTTATGTGACTGTCTGAATGGGTTTTGCGGCATCACAAGACAATGTTGTCTATCAATCGGCATTGACCGACCTTGACTGCCACAGAGATGATCGCGCCTTGGTCCTTCGAAACATCGTCAAGCTCGTCCATTGTCTCCTTGGATGCGATCGAGATGTACTGGATGCTCTGGAGCCGGGGCTCAGACTTGTACACTTTCTCGATGGTGGCGCGGAGGACACTGGCTGGCACGGTGGCGGCGGTGGCGGCGGCAAACACGTCAGCGGCTTGCTTAAGGCCGGCAAAGATTACCGCCGACGCCTGTCGTTCTTGGGGCGTCAAGTACTGGTTCCGGGTAGACATGGCCAGTCCACTGGGCTCGCGGCAGGTGTCGAGCACGTGCAACTCGATGGGGAAGTTCAAGTCGGCAATGACGCGCTTGATGACGACACATTGGACGGCGTCCTTTTGACCGAAAAAGGCGTGGGTGGGTGCGACGATGTTGAAGAGTTTGGCGACGATCGTAGCGACCCCGCGGAAGAAACCGGGGCGGCACTGCCCTTCCGGCACATCGTTAAAGCCCTCGGGATCGACGTACGTCCTGCATGGAGGAACGAATTGGACCATGTAGTCGGAGAGTAGGGTTGTTACCGGAACGAAGACGAGTACATGCTGTCCCGCGCCGGCGTGAACACAATGTCGACGTTTTCCTGTCGCAACAGCGCCAAGTCCGCCTCCAGAGTGCGCGGGTACTTTTCAAAGTCTTCGTTCGGTCCAAACTGTGCCGGGTTGACGAATACGCTGGCCACAACCACGTCGCATCGTTTCCTGGCTTCCTGGATCAAGGACAAGTGGCCTGCATGAAGTCCCTACATGGAGACGGTGAGGCTTGGGCAAACGATATAGCAGGGACATACCCCCATGGTTGGCACGAACCCAACGGTTGCGCCAGGCGCAATGCTTCCGCGGACCTTCCGATAGGACTCTATGGTATCGCACACTTGCAACGTCGATGCACGACGCATGGAAGCACGGCTCTTCTTTACGTGTCTCCACGACACCCGCAGCATTGTGTCGGACTCGAACTCGCGAAAATGCCGCATCCTTTTCATCACCAATACCAACTTATCCGGAGTGTGCTTTGTTAACCGGATACCCCCGAACTTCGATCACTTTTGATTGGGGACTGCCAAAACCTCAAAACCAATGAGGGACGGCCAGGTGCATTAGATGAAATCGATTCACAACTTTACGACTGCACTAGTAGTTAACAGTAAGTTACATACCGGTGTAGTGAATCACATACTGTATGCAAAAGATGTTGTTGGATTAGAAGTACTAGTAGTACTAACTATTAATAGTAACGTTACTGTAAGTTACTAGTATTCAGTTGGAAGGGCAGTAGGCAGGAGCAGGCACTTGGCAGGCAGAAGGAACCTCCTACACAGCTAGCAGACGCTGCTACCTGACTGACAGGGCAGCGGGGATGTTCTCTATCAGAACAGGGTGTTCTGACTGCCTCCCAACAGCGCCACGCACTGTCAACCGGAATCAGGTGCCCAGAGTGCAGAAAGAGGCTGGCGGTTATGCTCAGTGAGCGTAACCACCACTGGTTACACCGTCTTTTGTCCGGGACTCAACTCGTCGGACATCCCTTTCAGCGGGTCCCTACCAATTGGCCCTTTCCGAACGACGCACCGTGGAAGGGCCGGATGGATCGAGTAACCACCGGGATGCCGTCACCCCCCAATGTCGAACCAACATGGTCCAGGGCGTCCCCCTTACATGTCGGCGCAGTCATGGGCTGAGAGGCCGGAGTTCGCGCTCCCTGGCTCGCGCCGGAGGGTGCTGCCGGGCGGCAGCTGCCTCACCCTTAGTTGACTGCGCAAAGCGCAGAACGTCGTCACATCAAGTGGTTTGGTAAAGATATCCGCGAATTGATGTCACGTATCTGTGTAAACAAGACTAAACGTCTGTTGTTCCACAAGGTCGTTGATGAAATGGTAGCGTACATCAATATGTTTGGTACGCCCATGGTGGCCAGAGTTGCTCACGATCTGGATGGTGCTCTGATTGTCCTCGTGAAGAGGAATCGATGTGGTGATGGGATGTCCCATCTCAACAACTGCCTGCTTGATGTACATGCATTCTTGTGCAACTGTGCACAGAATCATGAGTTCTGCCTCGGTTGTCGAGAGGACGATGCTCCGTAGCCTCTTAGCAATCGAAGAGATCGCAGAGTTCCGGTAAAATGTCACGAAGCCCGCGACGCAGCGTCGGGTATCAACACAGTTAGCGTAGTCACTGTCCGCATACGCATGGAGCGGAGCGGAGTGATCGTACGCACCGCCGAGGACGAGACCGTAGTCGATCGTTTGGCTGCCTGCCAGTGGGCAGGGCCGGGGTTCATGAGGAATGGCTCAGTTGTTGGACGACGTACGCGAGGTCGGGTCGAGTGCTAATCATGAGATACATGATGCTGCCGACTGCCGATCGGTAAGGCTTGTCCAACATGGACTGGCGTTCAGCATCGTTCTGAGGACACATTGACTCAGACAGCTTGAGGTTGTACTCCATTGGAGTGGGGGCTGGTTTTGAATTCTCCATGCTGAATCTCTTGAGGATCGAGGTTGCATATTGGGATTGATGCATTGTGAGAGTTCGAGCAGAACGATCTCGAACAATGTGGAATCCGAGAATAAAAGTGAGAGCCCCAAGATCGTGCATTCGAAAACGCGATGAGAGACCATGTTTGATGGTGCGCATCATGTCCGGTGAAGGAGCCATGATGACCAGGTCGTCAACGTAGACGCCGATGTAAACGGCATGGCCGTCCACCTGCTTGGTGAAGACACAGCGGTCTTTGACGAGCTGGGTGTACCCTTGCCGGCGCAAGTAGGTAGCTAGTGTCTGGT